GCACTACTCGGTGGTGAGCAAGGCTCGCCGCGCGCGGCCCCCGCTAGCCCGGCTGTTCGCCGACGGCAAAGGGGCCCTGGAGCCGGCCCAGAACGGCCCCAGCGAGGTGCCGGAGCCCCAGTACGAGCTGCGCACTGTCCACGTCTCCAAACACAAGCAGTCGCTGGGTGAGTGTTGCTTAAGGCACTGGTGCTGGCTGCAGCCCTGGGGATGGGGCTGGGCTCCTGCTGGCACCCACCCCAGCCCGCCCCGGTGCAGGGGATCGCTCCCTCGTCCGTGCAGGGCTTTGCACTGGTCCAGGGGGGTTGTTGCGTGGGCTGGTTTGCACAGGGCTGATCCTGTTTCAGGCAGGGGCTTGGACTGGATGCAACCTCTGCAGGTCCCGTGGCTCTAGGATGCTGCATTGCGTGCCAGGCTACGGCACGGAGCCGTGGCAGCTCAGCCGGGTGGTGCACGAGGAGCCCAGTGGGCACCTAGGGGGACCCTGGCAGGATGTGTTCGCCCCATCTCTAGCAAGGGGCTCCCCCCGGTTAACACCCCTTGCCACCCCTGCAGGGATCAGCATCTCGGGCGGGATCGAGTCCAAGCTGCAGCCGATGGTGAAGATCGAGAAGATCTTCCCCGGGGGCGCAGCCTTCCTGAGCGGAGGCCTGCAGGTACCAGGGTGGGCACCAGGCTGGGCAGGGGTGGGGGGCAAGTCAGAGCATCCCTCCCACCTGCCCCCCGCCCCGTTCTTTGCCCCCGCCAGGCTGGCTACGAGGTGGTGTCGGCGGACGGCGAGAGCCTGCAGAACGTGACGCACGGGCGTGCCGTGGACATCATCCGCCAGGCCTACCGCAACAAGGCGCGCGACCCCATGCAGCTCGTGGTGAAGGTGCCCAAGGAGCCCGGGGACTGAAGGGCTGGGGGGGCCCCGTCTCCCCCAGCCCCGAACCACGAGGCAACGGCCCGGAGCCGGCTCGACCAGAGCGTGGCCCAGGCAACAAGGGGTCAAAGGCCAGGACTGGGCGTCCACCGTGCCGGAGGACCGAGCGTGTTCCCAGCTCCTCGCTGCGGCGAGTCGTGCCCGGTCTCAGACGCAGCAGGGGCCCGCGACAGCAGGCAGGGGCACAGCGCCCCCCATGTGCTACGGAGAGGACCCCAGAGAAGCGAGGATAAAAGCCCTACTACTGCTGCAGTAGACTGAGCCACGTCGGAGGCTGCCGTCTTCCTCGAGCCCAGCCGGACGGGGGTGCCGGGGCTGCCCCCCCACCCCGCCCCGTCAACTCACGACACCGCTCGGGGTACAAACACAGCGGGTTTATTGGCGCCCTCAGTCTGTACAAACGCGGATGTGGTCGGGAATAAATGTACAAAACCCCAGGCCCGTGGTGCCGGGGGGGTGCTTTGGTCTGATGCCGGCCCGGGTGGGCACTGCTACGCCAAGGGGGCGGGGAGGAAACCCCCTCCCTGGACTGAGTGGCTCGGGCGGGGGGGAAGGAAATCAGCCCCTCTCTCAGCCAGATCCCAGGGGGCTGGAGGGGCATCTCCCATGTGCCCGGGGCTGGGGGGACAACCAGGACCCAGTGCCCGCGGGGGCTGGCCCGGCCACCCTCCCAGCCCGGGGGGGTCACACGGGCGGCTTGCCCGACTGGAGCAGAGCTGTGAAAGGCGCCCGAGAGCCGGGGGGAGCCAGGGCGGGTGGGGTGGGAGCAGAGCCCTATAGTGCAGCCGGTGCCAGGCCTGGGGCGGGGGCGCCGAGCACGGGCTGGGACCCCACCCCACACCCAGGACCGCCCTGAGCACACGGCC